GCAGTGGGGAGGGCACAGGTGGCGGAGGTGCTGGGCTAAGAAGGTTTTCTGCTGTAAGAGCAGTGCCTGCAGGTGTTCACGGTGGAAGTGCTGTGACAGACACACAGTAGGAAGTGAAAGTCTCCTGGGAGGCTCTGCACGAGCGGTGGTTACTCCGGTATAAACAACGGGCTCTACCAGCTTCTGGTTTTAGAACCACTGCTTTTCTCAGTTAACAATGTGTTGGAAGATCTGACTTTGGGTGGTGGGCACACGGGGCATGTGTCAGAGATGATGGTACTTAAAATCTATATCATTTCATTAGTCAGTGTCACCCCAGTAAATTTAACTTAAAAAGGTGAAATGAAGCTCTAGCCAGTCTGGCTCAGTGGATAGAGCATCAGCGTGTGGACCAAAGGATTCCAGGTTTGAATTCTGTCAAGGCACGTACCCTGGCCCGGGCCCTGGTCAGGGCGCAGTGCAGGAAGCATCCAGTTGATGTGTTTCTCTCACATCGATGTTTCTCTCTGTGTTTCCACCTCTCTTCCACTCTCCGTAAAAATCAATGGCAAAACATCCTCAGGTGAGGATGAACAACAATCACAAAAAGTGAAATGATATAGATTTTAAGATTGAGCCCTACCCGGTTTGGCTCAATGAATAGAGCATCAGCCTGTGGACTGAGGGGTTCCAGGTTCGAATCCGGCCAAGGGCACATGCCTGGGTTGCAGGCTTGATCCCCAGTGTGGGCGGCGTGCAGGAGGCATCCAATCAGCGATTCTCTCTCATCATGGGTGTTACCATCTCTCTCTCTCCCTCTCCCTTCCACTCTGAAAACAATTCAGATATATTTAAAAACACAAACGTTGGTTCTGCCTGGGGCTGGGGGGTCCAGTGCGCTGCCCTTCCTTTTCAGATTGCTCTCCAGGACCTGCAGACCAACTCCAAGATCGCAGCGCTGTTGCCCTACTTTGTGTACGTGGTCAGCGGGGTGAGTGACAGGCGGGGCCGGGAGAGCGCTGGTGGGAGGCGGCGGCCCAGCAGCAGGTCGGGGCCATCGGCACGCAGGCTGCTGTGCACCCTCCTGTGCCCCTAAGCCAGTGGTCGGCAAACTGCGTGCGGCTCGAGAGCCACATGCGGCTCGGGGGCTGCGGTTTGCCGACAACCCCCCTCAGCGGGCCTCTTCCGCCCGCAGGTGAAATCTGTCAGCCACGACCTGGAGCAGCTGCACCGGCTCTTGCAAGTGGCGCGCAGCCTGGTTCGGAACCCGCACCTCTGCCTGGGGCCCTACGTCCGCTCTCTGGTGGGCAGTGTCCTCTACTGCGTCCTGGAGCCGCTGGCCGCCTCCATCAACCCCCTCAACGACCACTGGACTCTGCGGGATGGCGCCGCGCTCCTCCTCAGCCACATCTTCTGGTAGCCACGGCCGGGCGGCTGCAGAGCTGAGGGGTCGGGGAGGGGGTGGGTTGCATTCTGCCTCTGAGGCGTGTGTGCAGAGGTGGGGAGCCTCTTCCCTTGGAGCTTGCTCCTCGGTGTGCCGTCGTGACTGGGGTGCGACAAGTTTGTCACCCCCGGCCCCTCGTGCGCTCCCCCGGTGCCATGCGGGTGCCGTTTTCTTGGTGTTGGGCAGGCGCTGCCTCAGCCCCTCTAACTGCATGCTGCTCCCACAGGACTCATGGGGACCTTGTCAGTGGCCTCTATCAGCAGATCCTGCTGTCCCTGCAGAAGGTCTTGGCAGACCCTGTGCGGCCTCTCTGCTCTCACTACGGGGCTGTGGTGGGGCTGCACGCCCTTGGCTGGAAGGTGAGGACCTGGAGGAGCCTTAGGAGTTGCCATTTGTAATTAGGAAAATGGTATGTGTTTGTCTTGATCATAAAAATGGTGTCTGCTTGCTGCTGCTGCGCACCGAGTTCTTGCCTTCGGCCAGGCTCAGTGCTAGCCTTTTTTTTTAATGCTCATGTCCAAGTGTATTAGATACTTCTATTTTATTTTTTTCTACTTATATTTTTGGGATAATTTTTTTTGTTTTTTAAAAATATACTGTCATGGATTTATTATTTTTTTAGAGAGGAAGGGAGAGGGAGAGAGGGAGGGACACACTGATGAGAGTGAACTACTGGGGATCAGCCTGCAAATTGGCATGTGCCCTGAGAGTCAAACTCTTGGCCTTTCCATGTACAGGACGGACACCCCAACCAACTAAGCAACACAGGCCAGTGCTTATTTTATTTTTTTAAATTTTTATTGATTTCAGAGAGGAAGAGGGAAGGAGAGATAGAAACATCAATGATGAGAGAGAATCATCAATTGGCTGCCTCCTGCACAATGCGCACTGGGGATTGAGACTGCAACCCGGCATGTGCCTGTGATGATCGAATCTGGGATCCTTCAGTCTGCAGACCAATGCTCAACCACTGAGCCAAACCAGACGTGGCTATTTATTTCTTTTTTTATTGAATTTACTACTGGCCCGGTGCATCAATCTGTGCTCAATGAAAGAAAATTAATTAGAAGAAATCTATACACATAAAAAGCTAATGTGCTAAGTGTCTGACTGTCCAGGTGATGACATCACGTAGTAATGCCCAGCTTCCTCTCCCTAGCGATGACTATCCTCCTTGGAGTTTCTTCAACCCAGGAACACAACTTGCTTTATAGCCTTTATAGCCAGGTGTAAACATTTTACACTTTAACTAAATGTCTGTGAAGTGTTTTCCTGTGCCTCATCTCATTTGATCTTGACAGAATCCCCTTCTTTATATGTATTGCAAATGCTCGAGTCAATGTTTATTTTTATTATTTTTAATATATATCTATATCTATATATCTATATATAGAGAGATTTTTTTTTTTTTTACAGAGAAGGGAGAGATAGCTAGAAACATAGATCAGCTGCCTCCTGCACACCCGCCCTGGGGATGTGCCCTCAATCAAGGTACATGGCCTTGACCAGAATTGAACCTGGGACCCTTCAGTCCACAGGCCGTGTTCTCTCATGTGCTGTTCTTGTGTGGATTTAAGGTCAGGTTTATATTGACTCTACAGAATGAGGTGGGGGAGTAGTCATTTTTATATCTGGTTTAATGATTGAGATGCGTTTTTTGTGTGTGTTTTTAATGTCTACAGACTTTGTCAAATTTGGTATGGAGTTTTGTCGTTAGATTCTTAATTACTGTGGAACAAAATTATTTGAGCTTTCATAGATCTTGAGTCTGCAGCAAGTCATATTTTTCTAGGAGCTTGTCAGTTCTGTCAGTATTTTCAGATTGAGGATCACTCACCCATCACAGCCCAACAAAGACGTAACCCCTTCTGTGAAGTCTTCACTGCTTCCCCCACTTTGACTTCAGGATTTAAAATTCTATAAACAGGAGTCCAGGTCGTGGACTTGTTTTTGTGGTTTGAGCTGAGCCCCAGTTTGTATAGGGAAGCAAATGGCAACCTAAATGTCTCTTGTTAGCACTGGGCCTCACTCACACCCTCTTAGCCTTTAGTCAGCGATAGGGCACGTGTCAGTTATAGCGGATCGCTTTATAGTGTGCCTTTGTACCCAAATCTGCATTCCCAGGGCTCAGTGGAGCTGGTGCATACAGTAGGTTCCAAATAAATGCTGGCTGAGTATGCCAAGCAGGGTGGTTAGGTGGATGGAGCCCTGTCCAGCATCAGAGATAACAGGAAGCCTTTCACGGGAGAGGGTATTTGAGGCCCTCCCTGCACCCCGCGCTCTCCTCCAGGCCGTGGAGCGCGTCCTGTACCCGCACCTGTCCACCTACTGGACCAACCTGCAGGCCGTGCTGGATGACTACTCCGTCTCCAACGCGCAGGTGAAAGCAGACGGGCACAAGGTCTACGGAGCCATTCTGGTGAGTGCGGCCCTCCCAGGCGTGAGCGGAGGGCTTCCTCCGGTCCTCCATCCTCCTTCCCCGGTCCTCCATCCTCCTTCCCCCGGTCCTCCATCCTCTTCCCCCCGGTCCTCCATCCTCTTCCCCCCGGTCCTCCATCCTCCTTCCCCCGGTCCTCCATCCTCCTTCCCCCAGCCTCCCTCCTTCCTTCCCCGGTCCTCCATCCTTTCTCCCCCGGTCCTTCCTCCTCCTCCCCCCGGTCCTCCATCCTCCTCCCCCCGGTCCTCCATCCTCCTTCCCCCAGCCTCCCTCCTTCCTCCCCCAGCCTCCATCCTCCCGCATGGCCTGTCCTCTCTCCTCCCGCAGGTAGCCGTGGAGCGGCTGCTGAAAATGAAGGCCCAGGCGGCGGAGCCCCCCCGGAGCGGGCCTGGCGGCCGGCGCCCCGAGGACCTGCCCTGGGACAGCCTCCTCCTGCAGGAGCCGCCTCCGGGGGGCGGCGCGGAGCCCGGCTTCGGCTCCGGCCTCCCGCTGGCGCCGGGCGGCGCGGGGCCGGCGGACCCTTGCCCTGCGGTGACGCTGGCGGACATCTACCGGGAGCTCTACGCCTTCTTCGGGGACAGCTTGGCCACCCGCTTCGGCACGGGGCAGGCCTCGCCCGCGACCCCGCGGCCGCCCGGGGACAAGAAGGAGCCGGCGGCGGCCCCGGACTCGGCGCGGAAGATGCCGCAGCTGACGGCCAGCGCCGTGGTCAGCCCGCCGGGCGAGGACAGCCCCCGGGGCAGCGCGCCCCCGGCCGCCGCCGCGCCCCCGGCCCCGGACAGCCGGCCGCTGCCGCGCGTGCACCGCGCGCGGGGGGCGCCCCGGCAGCCGGCCCCGGGCGCCGGGCCCCGCGACGTCTTCCAGCGGAGCCGTTTCGCGCCGCGCGGCGCCCCCCACTTCCGGTTCGTCATCGCCGGGCGGCAGGCGGGGCGGCGCTGCCGCGGGCGCCGCTTCCAGACGGCCTTCCCCGCGCCCTGCGGGCCGGGCCCCGCCTCCCGCTACGCGCAGAAGCTGCCCATGATCGGCCGCACCGGCCGCCCGGCCCGCCGCTGGGCGCGCTCCGACTACTCGCTGTACCTGCCGCTCTAGCCGCCTTAAATAAAGCCGCCGCCCCGCCGCAGGGTGTCCGCTTGGCGCCGGATGAGGCGGGGCCTGGGCCGTTGTGCGGCCGCCCCGCTTCCGGGGGGCGGGGGAGCCATGGCGCTTCCCTGGCTGCAGCGCGTCGAGCTCGTGCTGTTCGCCGCCGCCTTCCTGTGCGGGGCCCTGGCGGCCGCGACGCTGACCCGGACCCAGGTGCGGGCGGGCGGGCGGGCGGGCCGCGGGGGAGGCGGGAGGGGGCGCTCCGCCGCCGAGGCCGCGGCTGTGCGTGGGGCCGGCGGTCGGTCCGCCGCCGCGGACACCGGCCCTGAGCGCGCTCGGCCACTCCTCGCCGGTCGGGTTTCGGTCCTCCTCGTCGAAGGGGCCGCTGCGGGCGCGTCCTCAGCGCCAGGCACAGCCCGCCCCGCGCCTTCCCCGGTTTGGGGACCAGTCGGCGGGGCCCTGCCGTCCGTCCGCACCGGAGACGCGCTGTGGGAGCTGCGCCTGGACCCCGCGGGCAGTGGGGAGGCGACCGGGTCCACGTGACTGCACGTGCAGTGAGGGTGGTGCCTGGCGGCGATGGGGAGGGACAGGCCCCTGTCACCCATGAAGCAGGCCCGGGTTTCAGGTTGGCAAACACTGGGCGGCCAGGCTTGCAGGGGATCGAGCTCAGTGTCTAAGTGACCGCCCCCGGCAGGCTAAGGAGGGCCTGGGTTCTCACTGAAATGTCACACTCAGACCCTAAAATCCCCAAGAGGCCCCGCCCACTCTTAGCTAGCTGGTGAGAGGCCCAGAAAGGAGCTGACAGGGCAGACAGCTGCCCGGTGTGGCCTGTACCCCCAGCGCCTGCCCAGCCTGCTGCATCCAAAGGGCGCCACCTGCGATCAGGACTCGCTGCTTCTCTCCGCAGGGCTCCTTCAGCGGCCGCTGTCCCCTGTACGGCGTGGCGGCCTTGAACCGCTCCTCCCTGGCCCTAGCCAGCGGCTCAGCCCCCTCCCTCTGCTACTTCGTGGCGGGGGCCTCTGGCCTCCTGGCCCTCTACTGTCTCCTGCTTCTGCTCTTCTGGGTCTACAGCAGCTGCATCGAGGACACCCAAAGGTGACTGCCCCACTGTGAGGGCCAGGGGCTGAGGCAGGAGGAATCCCACCCCAACCACAAGGCTGTTCTCTCCCTCCTTGTAGAGGCCGCATAGGGCTCCGCATTGCCCTGGCCATCTCGGCTATAGCCATCTTCCTGGTCTTGGTGTCGGCCTGTGTCCTTCGGTTTGGCACCAGTTCTCTCTGCAACTCCATCACCTCTCTGAACAGGACAATTAGGTAATGGGAGATGGGGGAAGCCTGGCCCCCTAGGGCTGACCCCTCCGCAGAGGGGATCCTGTACTCCCTGTCTTATTCCAGTCAGTTATTCTTATCTGAAAGGACACTAAGGCACAAGAGTATTTGGGATATTCCCCCCACCCCTTTCTCACAACTGTCTTTTTGACCTCACAGCTGCTCTGAAGCCCAGAAAATTCCATGGACACCCCCTGGGACCGCTCTGCATTTTTACTCCAACCTACACAATGCTGAAGTGAGGTTTGGGATATGAAAGGCTGAGTGGAGGCCCAGGGACACGCAAATTCTAGAAGCACCTGTGTAGCTTTAAGGGTGCCCACCAGTGAGGCTGAGGGAGAGCTACAGGGCTTGTCAGCCCGACAGCAAGCAGTTAAGAGTGGTGTGTGGGTGGAACTGGGTTGAGGGGACCCTGCTCCTCACACCCGTTCCTGTCTCCCGCAGAATTCTTCTTGGGTCCATCTGGTATTGTGGTGTGTGGTCCTGGTGCTCCAGGTCGTGCAGTTGAAGTCTGAAGCCACCCCATACCGGCTTCTGGAGAGGGGGGACCCTGAATGGAGCTCTGAAACAGATGTCCTAGTTGGGCCACGCCTTTCCCATCCCTGAAGAGTAAGCAGAGTGCTTCCTGCAGCCAATGGCTCCCTGCCCAAGTGCCTCAGTCCTCCTGTCCCCCTCGGCCCTGTTTATGCCGAGAGCCTCGGTTCCCAGGAAGAGGGAACCCTGAAGACAGGCCGCCCTCCACCTCTCTTACAGCTGCTTTTGTACCGAATATTATATGACTTTTTCCCTTCATCTTGGTACTGAGTCCTTAGTATTAAAGCACTGCAGGCAGATGGACGGGAGGAAAGAGGAAAGGCTAAACAAATGGAGTACATTCAGGGGTCTGCCCTGGGAGTGACTGCTTTTATTTGCTGTGATGTAATCTTGGGTCCCTTGTATTACTCTGGTTGTCACCCCAGCCCTAGGGTTCAGTTGTGTGCTTTTTAAATTATCGCCATAGAATTTGTTTTTTATTTTAGAGAAAGGGCAAAGGAGAGAAACTTCAGTGTGAGAAATATCAGTTGCCTCCCATGTGTACCCCAACCAGGGATGGAACCCACACCTGGGCATGTGCTCTGGCTAGAATTGAACCCAAGATCCTTTTTTTTTTTTTTTTTTTTAATATCTTTATTGATTTGATTTCATAGAGGGAGAGAGAAACATCAATGATGAGAATCATTGACTGGCTGCCTCCTTCAAGATCTGGGATTGAGCCTGCAACCCGGACACATGTCCTGATGGGGGAATTGAACCGTAACCTCCTGGCCCATAGGTTGATGCTTAGCCACTGAGCCACCACCGTGCGCAAGATCTTTCGATGTACTGGGATAGTGCTTCAACTGAGCCACACCGGGCAGGCCCTCAAGGTTCAGTTTTTATTCCCCTCTTGGAGGTGCTTTTTTTACAAGCTACGGTAGGCACCCACAGTGTTGTCAAAGAGTTTCGTGTTAGGAAAATACCCAGCTTTGTCCAAGAGGAAGTAGAAGCGTCGGCCTTTGACCTTTAGAGGCAACATGGCAGGGACCTCTCCCCGGTGGGCCATGCAGGATACTTGGTTCAAGGGAACAGTGAGCTGAGCACCCAAGCCAAAGGGGGCGTGAGTGGTGAGGGTCACCTGCTTCCCTCCAGCCTGCAGTATCACTGACCGCACAGAGCGGCGGGAGAAGAGAAGTCCGGCGGCAAGGACCAGGGTACCTGCAGGGAAGAGCAGGCTGCGGTGAAGGCTTTCTGGGAGAGCTAAGCAGCAGCCCAGGTGCCCTCGGAATAATCCCCAGATCCTTGGGTTACTCATTCCTCACATTAACAGATGCCCAGCCCCATGTTCATGAGAAAACAGGGCCAGGGGCGAAGTAACTTGCTCATGGTCGCGGAGTGAGTAGCTGACCTCAGCCTAGGCCTGTCTGTCCGAGGGCTTGGAGCTCCGGACTGCCACCTCCTGTGTCCCGTCCCCGTCCGTCCCCCCTCCCCACCCCCGCTCATCCTGTAGGGTCTGGCCCGTCCCCTGGTGGGAAGTCAGCCCACGCCTTACCGATGGCGCCGCAGCCCACGGCTAAGCCGTAGCGCCAGAGCGCGGAGCGCACGTCCAAACGGCCGGGGTCTGGGATCTCCGCGTCCGGAGGCCGCGCCGGGACCGGGGGTCGGGCCAAGGCTGCCACGGCCAGGGAGGCCCAGAAGACGCCCTGGCCGGCGCAGAAGAGCCCGAGGACTGTGAAAAAGCGGCCCCGTTCGTGCTCGAAGAGCAGCACATCCCGCGGCGGGGCCCACTCATGCAGGCTTCGGCGCGCGGGGAAGTCCCGGACCGGCACCAGCAGCCGCACCAGCCACCGCCGCCCAGGTGCCGCCATGGAAGCACAGCTTCCGGGGCGGGACTTCCTGTGGGCGGGGGCCACCTCCAACGTCATTGGCTCCCAGAGGCTGACAGCCTCCGCCCCGTCCCAGCCCGCTTCCCCCTTTGGCCACAGACCAGGCAAACAATACAGGCGCAGGGCAAAATACAATATCACTCTTTATCTTAAAAATAGGAGAGGGATCCTGGGGTTAAGGACACAAAGCACCGCAGTCCTTCGGGTCGTTTAGTGTCAGTTCTACAACGGAACCTTTGGCTTCCTGGCACCCGTTGAGGCTCAATTTTCTGAAAATCTTCCAGGGTCTTCCGGCAGGCAGGCGAGGGGAGGTGCGGAGCCTCCGTCCGTCGCGGGCACGGGGGCCTCGGCCAGGCCGGGGAGGAAGAGGCGACTACCGTGGCAAGGAGACATCGCTATCCAGGGCTATTTACAGGGGCTCCGGGCCTGGCCAGGTCACTTCATGAACGCCACTTCGGGGATTTCACCCTTGGCCTGGGAGAAAAGGGAAGGTCAGCAGAGCCAGGTTCCCCGCCTGTTCTTTCCTCCTGTTTCAAGGCCGGAGACCTGCGTTCTCGCCACGGTATTCCAAACCTTACCTTGAGATGAGTAAAGGCTTGGGCAGATCTGGTGTAGTCCCAGTTGTTGTCCTGCAAGCACCTGCAGTGAGAAAGGAAGGCCACCTCCATTGAAACCAAACGCAGTCACCCTCATCACTAAATGCCACTTCAGAATCCATCCTATACACACAGTTGCCCAAGTTCCCAACCATTCTATACATGCTTGCACAGTTAACACAAATGAAGAGTTACCGGTGGTCTACTGAACACCAAGGAACACACAGGAAACAGCCATCAAGACTACGCCCTGGCTGGTGTGGCCTGGTTGGTTGGAGCATCTTCCCATACACTGAAGGGTGGCCGGTTCAGTTCCTGGTTGGGGGCATGGGCAGGAGGCAACCGATCCATATTTCTCTCTCTCATTGATGACTCTCTCACAGTAAAAAAAAAAAAAAAAGACAAGACTAAAATGACTTTTATACTGATAGGGGAAGATGTTCATGGGAAAGGAAAAAAAGTTGCACAACAGTACATATAAAGGGATTTCATTTTGGTTTTAAATTTTATGTTAATTTATAACCACGGGGAAACTTTCAGACAATTATAAATTTTTAAAAATATATATGTTACTGATTTTTTACAGAGAGGAAGGGAGAGAGATAGAGCTAGAAATGTCGATGAGAGAGAAACACCAACCAGCTGCCTCCTGCACACACCCTACCGGGGATGTGCCCGCAACCAACGTACATGCCCTTGACCGGAATCTAACCTGGGACCTTTTAGTTCGCAGACCAACGCTCTACCGCTAAGCCAAACATTTCGGCTATTATAAATTTAAAAAAAAAAATGTTTTTATTTATTTGACAGAGAGAAAGGAAGAGAAAAGGAAAGAGAGAGAGGGAAGGAGGGGGAAATGGGAGAGAGAGGGAGAGAAACATTAATGAAAGAGAAACATTAATTGGCTGTTTCTTGCATGCTCCTATTGGGGATTGAACCTGCAACTTGGGCAGTGCCCTAATAAGAATCAAACCAGGGACCTTTTGGTACATGGGATAAAGCTCAGCCAACTGAGCCACACCAGCTAGGGCTCTTATTTTTTAAAGCAATAAAATAATTTGACTTTTAAAATTTCAGGAGCACTTATTATTCACTACCAGCTCTACCTCAGTTTACCCCTATTATACACATGCCCAGCACTTACTTCTGGGACCACTCGAGGTTCATGCCAGACTGCGTGGAGAATGCCTGCAGCATTTCCTGCTGCTCTGGGGACAGGGTGGGCACCGGGCTGGAGGAGGGTGTGGGCGCAGGCATGGCGAAAGCTCTTTGGATCTCGTCAGGGCTGGCATTCCGCACAAACAGCTGGTCATTTACAATGCACAGCCTTGGGGACAAAAAGCACCTTAGGCAATTGAACAAACACAGATATCCTCATCCTCCCAACATCATTCCTCTTCTCACTGAAATTTCACCCTCAGATTCTAAAACCCCTATAAGGCCCCCTCACTGTAACCTATTACCTTTTCATTTTATTGATATGGACTTTTCCATAGACTCCACAGATGGAAGCATCTACCAAGCACAGAATTATATACATTGTGCCCAAACCACAGACAGTTCTTGTCTCCCACTTGTCTTCACAACAGATCCAGGAAGTGAATAGTTACACCAATCTTCAGATGAGGAAACTGGCCCTTGGCCAAGTGGTAGAGCGGACTGAAAAGCCCAGCCAGTCCAACTCCAGAGCAAGCTCTTCGCCACTGTGTAAGCCTCCTACTCTGATTTCTCCATGCCTTCCTGAAATTCTGAAAATACCCCAAGGACTGACTCTACTCCTGCCCCTCCGATTCCCACAGCACTAGAAGCCCGTCTGATAAGCCCAGCACTTACCCTGAATTGCTGGCTGGAACAGCGACAAACGTCCGCGTGAAGGCTCGCAAAGTATCCCGGGACTTTCCATCCACTGCAATAACACCAAGCCAATGACCTGAGAGTTGCTCACACTTTGTTTATGAACAGCTTCTCAAAACATTGTTGCTTTTGATACAAAGAACCCTCAGTGGCCAGAAGGGAATGATTATGTTTGTGCAGAGCTGGGGAGTGTGAGAAGTCAGAAAGGACAGTAATAACCACCATTGCCCACTGATAGTCTGTGTGTGACAAGCACTCTGTAAGGCACTCCACAGCACCGCTAGGAGATGCCTACTGCTAACCCCCTTTGGCAAATGAAGACTCAGGCTCATTAGTAATGTAGATTGCTCACACACAGGACAAGGTTGGGACAGAGCTCAGATCTGCCGGTGTCCTCTTAATCCTCAGGCTTTCCCCTTATCCCAGGCGGAAAAGAAAGGGGGAGGATAGGCCAAAGGAAGATGGCTTGGGGCAGAACAGGAGGTCAGGGAAGAGAAGATAGCTGAGACTCTGAGAAAGACTAGCTGGGGAAAGGACTGCTGCAAAGACAGGACTCCCAAGACGCTCGCTCACCTTCCTTGAAGACTCCATTGACAGAAAAACACAGTAACGTGTTCTGAAAGAGAAGCAGCAGTTACCACGCAGGCTCCAGCCAGAGCCAGAGCCCTCTTGCTTCTGAACAGCCCTTCCCCAATCCCCGGATGTCAGGGAAATTCATGCTTACCGTTTGGGCACTTATGTCGACCACGAAGGAGTTGATGTCGTGTTGAGTCTTGGGCAACTCATTGAGGAAGGCAACAACGTTGAGCCGTGTGTGCTTCAGCAGCCGGAACCGCATGGCTGGGGAGGAGAGGCCAAGGTCAGGGGCTACCATGCACTCCACAGCCCCATAAACCTTCCCGTTCCCTTCTCCCATCCTGCTTTGCTCACATAACACACTTACTCGGGTCTTTCAGTTTCTTCACATTTCTGCTATCCTTGAAGTACTCGCCCAAGTTGCTTCTGGGAAATAAGAGGAAAAGGAGGTGGTGGTCAGGGCAGTGTGGGCGCTAGCAGGTGCCGCCGGCCTAGATTTATTGAGAAACTCTGGTCCTGGGCAGGTTCTGAGATGTGGTTCTTACCGGGCAGGGTTCTGGGGGGTGAAAGGGATGCTCAGGGAGCAGCAGGCTCCATCATGGTAGGCATCCAGGAGCCGCTTCCGGTTTCCAGAGTCGTAAATTGCATAGTACCTGTGGGCAAGACAAAAGGGGAGGTCTGTGTTTCCTAGTCCAGATCCAAAAAGGACCCAATAGCTCTCAAGAGTGAGCTGTGCTGAGGCTAGCCCACCTCTCCCAAACCCGGGCCCTGGATACGTACTGCTGCAAGAAGTGCAGGACCAGGTTCTTCAGGGCCTCCGTGCCAAAATAGCTCCCCTGGGACCAAACAGGTATTAGGACTGCGCAACCAATCCTCTCCTCCCTACAAGTCCCAGTCCGTCCCCTCTCCTCACCTTGCAGGGTGGCAACATCGTGGGGGCTTCAACGTCAAAGGCAATTGGCGGGGGTAACTCATGGCCGTCCTGTGGGAAGGAAGTGAGGTTGGGGTGTGAATGGAGAATAGGGCTGGGTGAGTAACAAAGTGGGAAAACTCTGGTCTTGGGCTAAGAGGACGGGGACAGAGATCAAGTGTAAAGGGACATGGAATCCTGACAGATGCCATTTTGTCAAGAAGCATTTTTCCAGAAAAGAGGATTCTACTAGTAGATTTTGTTGGGATTTTCAAAGGGCCGCATGTCCCCAAGTTAATGGCCATACTACCATGTTAGGCAAGACATTGGTGAGAGGTACTATGCTTGTTAGAAAAGCATTAAGAAAGTTATAAACTTACCAAACGTAGTAATTTGGGAAATCGTTCGCGAATGGCGCTGTCAAGAACGGGACAGAAGTCAGTGACGCTTCAGAGCCACCGTGCCTCCTGGGCTGCTCTAGGAGCAAATACATCAACGCCCGAGGACAGCCCATCCTTTTCACTCCCCCTCTCCTCCCAGCCTCTGAGCTCCAAGAAGCATGGCCCCTCTCCCCGCCCGGGGCGCCCAGAATGACTCCTTGCAGGCTGACTCTCTCCTCTGCCTGACCCCGAGTGCCGCCGAGCAGCGCTCTCCGCCCAGGCTTAAAGCCCAGGCCCTCCTTGCCCTCCCTGCCCCCTTACCTTCTACCTACTCACCTGTGCAGCCCCGGGAGGAGGGAATGGGGTGGGAGCCCAGGGGCTCCGCTGCCTCAACAGGTATCCATCACTTCTGCCAGGTCTGGCTGTGGCCAAGACCAGAACACACCACAGGGATGGCACAGGATGTTGGGGCAGGGAGATGAGCCAGGTAGGGATTAAGAGGAAAGGGCAGCCGAAACCGGTTTGGCTCAATGGATAGAGCGTCGGCTTGGGGACTGAAGGGTCCCGGGTTCGATTCCGGTCAGGGGCATGTACCTTGGTTGCGGGCAAATCCCCAGTGAGGGGTGTGCAGGAGGCAGCTGATCGATGACTCTCTCTCATCGATGT